AGCCATCTTTTTCAGACTTGCTTCAGACATTCTTGCTCTTTTTTCCCCTTGGGATATTTACAAATGATTATTTTTTATTTCTCCTTAATAATTAATTTCATTTGATCCAGGGAAGATCACTGAATGATTGCCTACTTACTAATAGTGAAGTAGTTAATAGAAGAACGATGATTTTAAGAACTGTTTTGAGAACTAATTTAGAATTATTTTTCCTAATGTTGTTCATATTTTCAGAGAATTTAGCTGTAGGATTTGGAAGAAAATACGTGTACCTATTCTTTCCTTGTGCACATGTTTTCAAATAACTAAGAAAGAGGTTTAGAATTTCCCTAAAAAGTATCGTAAGAGTAAATAAATCTACTAACCCAGTGATTTCTTCTTAGTAGTAAAATCTGGATTCTGTGATAATTAATGTAGTATTTTGGGCTATTTTTAGGGCTATAGAGCTCATTTTCATTATCTTTCTTTTCATATCTAACTCAAATTAATTTTCTCTTCTTAGCATTTATTACCTCAACCAAGAAAACATATAATATTATAGCCCCTTGCCACATTTAAGCTGGCAGTGTTAAAACCTTCTTTCAATAAGAAAAAGAAGGTACTTTGGTGATTCTTCTTAGAACCACAAACCCCTCTTAAATCTGCATGTACCTCCTTCATTATCCTCTTAACTGGTAGTTAATGATGTAAGGCTTACAGCCATTTTAAGTAGATCTTAGGAGGTCATTGCTTTTGCGAACAGGTTGTTTCCTCAAAAATGTTGAAGAACTGTGTTACTGTCTGAAAATACTTGGATATTTTGCCTGGCTTTTTAAAATGAGAATCCAGTTCTGGCATCAAAGAGCTATTCCTGCAGCTTAGAGCTCCGGTAAGGTGGGAGTTGATTAGCATTGGCCCAAGGTGCAGGCCAAGAACTATTTAGAATGTTGGAATATGGTATGCTGCTGTTCTGAATCAGAAAAAATTATACCTATAGGTGGGTGATAAATTCATTCCTATTTAGCTGTTAAAGTTTTGGTATTGATTAATAAATTGCAATTCTTGTAATTACTGCAATTATTAATTCTAGCATCTTTAAATGAAAGTGAAGTTAGTTGTCTTCCCTCTGCCCAGCAGTTCAAGGTGCCAATTCATGTGAAATGTTTGGGTAGTAATAAAATAATATATATGATTTACTTTAGCTTGCCTTTGGCAAAACCTTGATTAATGAATTGTAGTCTAAACCAAAATATGAAGAGATCACATAAGCTTAAAAGGAAGGTCTAAAACATGTCTTTAATTGGTGACTTTTACTACCAATCTGATCATTTTTGCATTTTAAATAAGTTCTACTTGTCTTTCCACATTTCTGCTTCAGCAAAGAAATTGTGTAGAATAAATTTGGAAGGCAGTTGGTATGATTTTTCTGTGTTCTAATTTAGTTTATTATATAAACAATCATCAGTACTTATTGAGCACCCATTATGTACTCATTACCTAGAAGTATAGAAATAAGAAAATAATTTCTGTCAAGGCTACTACCTATCTTGGTTGGTTCAGGGTCAAATTTTTTATATGCAGATCTACTTGGAGAAAGTTTAGAATTTGAGAAGGCTATTTCTCTGGAGGAACAAAAAGGGTTTCTCTTTCTTCCTTCTTTCCTTCTTTTCTTTCTGTCTTTCTTCCTTTTATGTCATAAATGGAGCGAACAGACAACTTATTTAGGTAAAGGAGACAGTAATGCTATCTCAATTTATGTATCAGACTCCTGGGATTACTCTTCCTATTGCTAAAATTTTTAAATACTCCTTTTAAATAAATTCAGTTATCTGAGTATTTGAAGTAGATACTTCCATTTTAAAAAATGAAAGCTACATGCTTATGTAGAAGTTAATGTATTTTTTAAATTAGTTGCAGTTCTGAAGTAATTTGGTCCTTTGCAAAGGTTGATTCAGCATGAGGTTACAGTGTAGTAACAAATGTACCACATTTGCTACTTGCTTAGAAAAGATAAAATATGTGAAAAAAATTGTTATTACTGCATGAAAATTTTCTTTCTTGTATTATAATCTTTCCTGATGATTTTGCTATAGAATTTATAAAATGAATTTGGCCTATGGATTATTTAAAATTATGAACCTAAAATTTTGTGTTATTTGAGAAATCCTACAATGGTATAGATGATAGATTAAAAGCATTGGAATAATCTTCTCAAATAACCCAGGTAGCATTCAATTAAATACATGTACTATCATGATTACAGTTATATGGAAACATACAATTATATTTTTTTCTTTTTTCTGTTTTTGATTACCTAACTTTTAAATATTTTTCATACTACAAAATATATTGCTAGCCTAATAAAAACTAGTAATGCAAATTTAAATTATAATTAGTATTGTTAGTGTTTCCATTTTTTAACTTCTTAAGATATGTTATAATCTTGTCACTCAGTTTTTTATAATTACTTTCAGTTCATTAATAATTAATTAGTCCCCTCTAAATGCCAAAAGTGTAAAGTAATCTTGTTGTCCCTTTTGGAAGCCCTGTTCATAAGTTTTGTGGATCATTAAGAGGACTAATCAAACAAGAACTCTCTAGGACAGCATTCCTTGTAAAATGGAGACTAGGTAGAATCAGTGTACTTGACCCCAAGTACATATTGTTGTCCTTTTTGGTTGTCAGCTGTGGCAGATGTAATCATTCCTATGAACTTTTCCTTCTAATTCAGAATAAATTAGAACAGTGTCTCTCTGAAAATCTCAATTTCTCTATCTACTGATGGTTGGTAATGTGTACAAAATGTATATTCCCACCACAGGATTCTTTTTTTCATTTTTATATTTGCTTTCAAAAGAGTTTCACTCTTAGGTCCTTTGAGTAAAAACCACTCTTTTAGGTTTTAGTCATAATGAGCATCAAGGTAGAGTAAGGAATAAGAAGGAAAGATAGAGAAACATCAGCTTTAAGTCCTAGGGGCCCCTTGAAGATCAAGCAAAATGAATATAACTTCAATTAAAGTTTTTGAAGGTAGTAGAATGTATGTTTTCATTTATTTGCCACTTCTTATGACTCTAGTAGTTGTACATATACAAGGCAGATACACATACAGATTTGACAACCTTAATTATCTTCTGGCAAGGAAAAAAGTTTTCCCCCAAATTTTTACTTAAACTACTAAGGAATAAAATAAGAGTGAATTCTTTGAAGGCAGCGGAAATTTAGAAAGCATTGTTTTTGTCTTCCCAGGTCACTTGTCAGTTATTGGAGGACTAAGTTCACTATTGATATCAATCTGTATCTTTTATCATAGTTAACATTATCCTGAAGATGTGTGTGTGTATGTGTTAGGAGCTCAACAAATAATTCTTATTTGCCTATTAAAAAAATATTGAGTGCCTACAACATACCAGGTATTTAAGTGTTAGACTATAGCAATGACAAAATAGACCATAAAACCTGCCCTCAAAGGGCGTATGTTCTAATTGGAGGAAACAACTGATAAATAAAACAGATAAGTAAATTAGTTTTTGTTAAGTGTGAACATTTTATAGCTATTACTGTTTCAAATATTTTGTGCCCACCCTTTCTGAGACCCCAATAGCACATGTGTTGTACCATTTGATATTGTCTTGTAGGTCACTGGCATTCTAATCATTTTTTTGCCCTTTCTTCTCCTTATGATATTGCTCAGTTTTCAAATTTACTGATCTCTGTAGTTTTTAATCTGCTGTTAAATTCTCCAGTGAATGTTTTTAAATTTCAAATATTCTTCATCTCTAGTAGTTCCTTTTTGTACTTTTAGTTTCTATTTCTTTCCTCAATATAGTCATGGTTTTCCTTAAATCCTTGAGATATTTATAGTAGATGTTTTAAAAGCCTTTTCTGCTAATTCCATCATAGAAATCTGTTATTTCTATGGCTTTTTCTGTTGACTTATTTTTATCCTAGTTTTGGGTCAATTTTTCTTGTTTGTTTCTTTTCTTTTCTTTTTGTATGCTAGATACTGTGAACATTATATGGCTAATTGGATTCTGTTGTCTTCCTTTAGAAGAAGTTTGTTTTGTTTTGTTTGATATTTTCAAAGATTTTTTTTAAAACCTTTGTTGGGCAAGTCTGAAGTAGCCTTTACTCTAGAGTTAGTGTTTCCCCTACTAGTTAAGTGTGACCCTCTGAGTCTATGAATGCTTCCAATGTTCCTCCTGCTTGGGTTCCTCATACATTGACAATGTCTGGAAAGTGACTGTGGGCAGCAAGCCAGGACAGTGGAAGGGTTTACTGTGTTTGCTTTCTAAATATTACTTTAGTTCCTTGGAGGAAAAAAAAAAGCTCCTTGGAGGAAAAAAAAAAGCACATGTAAAATCTAACCATGACCATGTTTGGAGCTTATCAGTGATTTTTTAATATAACCTTCGATGAATGAGGAAAGAAAGATGGTCATGTTTTCATGGTGCTCCTATTATCTATCGCACTGGAAATCCTACTCTGCCTCCTCTGTTATTTATTGACTTTGTTACTTATAATATTTTTTATCATCTTTCATTTATTTAAAAAATATTGACTATGTAAGTAGTTGCCATATTGACAGGATGGAATCAGACATGGATCCTGCTATTAGGATGTTTACAGTGTAGCTAGGAGAGAATACGTATATAGAATCTTTAAATCTAAGACAGAGATTAAAAATTAAGAAAAATGAGTACAGATAAAAGTGGTGTGGGAAGCCAAAAAGACATGTCTCAGTTATTTACAGTTTTATATGTTAGATTTAAGCAGCCTACTTAATGGGAAACTCCAAAACAAAAATTATGATTTTTAAAGCCTCTTTTATGTTAATGTAAGTTTAGTTTTCATTCCATTTTAGATAAAATGTATTTGTCTTCAAAGTTTTGTCTTATGTGATGATTATTTTCTAGCAACTGAATTAGGAAATTAAAGTGCTTTGGAAGTTACATTAGAATGAACTAAATGCCCAGAACAGAAGTCTGAGGTTTTATAGACTTGTTTGATTTAACTCTCAGTGGAGGAATCAGACATCATTGATCTGGAGAAACGCTACTGGTTGCTGAAAGCTCAGTCCCGGACTGGACGATTTGATTTAGAGACTTTTGGCCCATTGGTTTCACCACCTATTCATCCATCTCTATGTGAAGGTAAGAGTCATTCTATATTCTACAAATGTTCTTAGGTAAACACACCTGAGCCCATCTCTTATTTCTAACCACTACATCTTAACTCTTAAAGAGTGTAATGTAAGAGGTATGCAGGTTTCTTGCAAATAGTATAGTGGAAAAAAACTGAAATGGGAATTAAGATTATAGTCTTGAGCTTCCTATTCTACCTATGAACTTGTATAAATCAGTTTAGCTCTCTGCACCTGAATATTCTCATGAGTTTGACCAAGTCAGTGGTTTTGAAGCTGAACCTAAGGCGCCTCAGTGAGGCAATGAGACGCCTCCAGTGAAGTGTGTCAGCAGCTGTTGCAGGGAATAAGGTGGTGGCCACTAAGTGGACAGAGCTCCTGGTTTCCACACTAATCCCACCTCTTTCTCAGCTCGAGTGCCTCTACTTTTGCTTTTTCATGAGAAGGTTCCACTGCTGTCTCACCTCCTCCCCTGAAAAAAAGAGATTAAAAAACCAGAAACCACTGGACTAGACCATCTTTGAGATCCCTGCTAGCCCTGAATTTCTCATTGCTGTAACTTTTTTTTTTTAATTAGGAATACAAAGAGTAATTGTAAGTGATACCACAAAAACCATATTAGCAATCTGACTACTTGGGTTCTATGTCTGGTTCTGACCTTTTTAAACTTACTTCTGGCAAATCACTTAACCCCTTCTGAGCTTTAGTTTTATATTCTTTAAACTGAGGGCTCAGAATTAGATTCTTGAAATAAAGACTGTATTCTTCAGATTCCTAGAGTACTTCAGATATACTTATTAGGAGAGCCAGAGTAGATAGGGGTTTGGGCTTCCACCTTTTTCAACAGCACAGTTGTAATTTACCTGTTTTTAATTAGATTGATAAATCATTTCATTTGAAAAAATTATTTCTAAATTTTACAAAAGTTTGAAAACGACAGGGATTATAAATTCCCTTTAATTTCTGAAACTTAAAATATTCATTTATGAAAGATTATGTAGTACAAAGAAGACTAGAGTTTCTTTCTTTTGTAGTAAAAGTGCTTTATGGGAGCTTATTATTAACACCACAGTATATTTTTGAGTATATATTTCAACTTTTCTCATTCCTTTTCCTTTTCAGTCTTTCTAAGTAAGGATAATTGTAATTTCGGACCTTTTTTCCCACAGTTCTTAGTTTTTTTAAATTAATCTTTACTTTTTATATCTTATAGTCATTTTTAGCTGTTAGAATTGACATAAGATAGAGACTTATAGACAAACATAACCAAACACTAAATGTTAGTAATGTACTTTCTGTTACAATCTTAAGTTTTAGTTATAATTATACTAGGGAAAAAAACAAATGCTTCCTCAGACAGTGGAAAGTACAGATAAACATTTTTCTTTCTTTCTTTCTTTCTTTTTGTTAAATTTGGCCAGTTTGGGGGAAAGAGTCATTTCTCTTTCATAAATATGTCATTATTAACATTAGGAAGTTTGTTGACTCTGTTTATGGTGTTTTTTTCCTATTTTACAGGTTTGTTTAATGCTTTTGATGAAAATCGTGACAATCACATAGATTTCAAGGAGATATCCTGTGGATTATCAGCCTGTTGCAGGGGTCCCTTGGCTGAAAGACAAAAATGTAAGTGTGTTAAACATTGCCACAAAATTTGCAGACCGTGCAGAAAAAAAGTTAGCGTTCATCCATGTGCATTGAAGTTTGAATTTACATTACTGTCACATTGGCAAATAACAGCCTTATGTTGAAGTTTTACTGAGGTGAATCTAAGGATTCAGTTGTGTGTTCTTTTTTACTAGAAAGTAGTTTTAGATCTTTGTTATTAATAATTGGGTTGATTTTCCTGATGAACTTGCAGTTCATGATAAATGAACTACAGGTCATAAATATATCTGAAAATGTTTAGAAAATATTTTCAATAATCTATGTGGAGAATTCTATGTCTTGCATAATCTGAAGTACAACTCAGTTTCTGTCACTTGTGTACATTAATATTTAATTAGAAAAATGAAATTTATTATCAAAACAGTTTTATTAAATACTAAAATGTTCTTTTTAACCTAGCTAAAATGTTATTATAGCATTATTTATAAGTATAAGTATATTACATTATTAAATCTTAACCATATTTGAGAAAATGCAGCAGTTTACATTTAATTGGGACCTAATTCTAATATATTTACTAGGGTCATTATCTCTGTGTCTTTCTAAAATACAACTGCACAAATGTTGCCTCTTTTGGGTGTGCTATTTATATTTTGATCAACTGTAGTAATATTGTACTATGATGCACTCAGTTGATTTAATAGCATAATTATTATGGGAATATATGAAATAGATAATTATTTAACTTTAGAAATTCAATTTTTTTTTTCTTACCTGATGATACTCCATGACTCTAACCTGGCTTTATGATAGATTTTTTTTTCCCCCATGAAAGTCCTACTAAGAAGGAGGCTGAAATCTCTGCTTTTCAATTTAGTTTAATAATTGCCCCCAATTTTTTTTTTTTCTATTTTGCTGGTGGACTAATGGAAGTTAACAAACTAAGATTCATTTGTTTGGAGTTAATTAGCAAAGTACTGATATTTCTAGTTCTTAGCATTTGTATACAAACTTCATTGGAGAATTGAAATTGTTCTTTGGCAAAAAATAGGGCATGCATTAATTACTTTGGAGAGGAAGAGTGGAAGCTGACTATGTGCCAGCTTGTTATTCGTTCATGTAGGTGGGATATTTTCAGCAATATAAGAATCAGCTCTACAGTGCTCAGTTTTAAATATGAGAAATTAATTCAAGGGTTTGAATTATCTCCTCAAAACCTGTGAGGTATTGTAATATTTATTGTATAGTAACTTGGCTGCCTTTTTTTTTCTACTTCGCAAGGAATTTAGGTGAAACGCCTTTTTTTTTCTACTTCGCAAGGAATTTAGGTGAAACATAGGGCTCCCCAACCTGGGCAATGATTTAGAGGAAGAGATTTATGAAGTGAGTGTATAAAGTAAGTTCAGAGGTCAGTAGTGACATGATAGCCTGCTCCAGATGAGAACTTAATCCAGAGTATACTTGCTTGACAAATTTAGTAATTTTAATAGGACTGCTTCTAGCAAAATGTATTATACTTCAGAATATAAAAGTAATTTCCCTCCTTAAGAGTTTCTTGTCTTTAGTTTGCTTTAAGGTGTTTGATATTGACCGTGATGGAGTTCTCTCCAGGGTTGAACTTAGAGACATGGTCATTGCACTTTTAGAGGTCTGGAAGGACAACCGCACTGATGATATTCCAGTAAGTTCTAGTTGTGTACATCTTGTGGACTGTAAACTTCTAATAGGAAAATGGAGTGGAGAATTTTTCTAAAAAGAGAAAAGGATGTGTTATTACTTCTAGTTGCTGTATTATGCTACTCAAAATAAGTGTAAAATTGGAAAGAGAATTTGCTAATAAAATTTAATAGAACTTACTGTGTAAAGTAGGAGTGAAACTACAGGAAAATTGTCTCATTTTTAAAGCAAATATAAGAATATATTTATATATTGGTAATTTAAAAAATAATTGATCAAAATATAGTATACTTTGGCCGCTGAATAATAAAAATGATGTCTTTTCTAATTATTCCTTTGAATTTCTGATTTTAAAGGAGTTACATATGGATCTATCTGACATTGTAGAAAGCATATTGAATGCACGTGACACCACAAAGGTGAGTCTAGCTAGGATTAGTTTATCCTTTTCTAAAAATACCATGTACTCTGAATTAGAATATATAGTTTAAATATATAGTTGAATCTTTTCTGAATCATTCCCACCAAGTGCTTATTTGGACCTGTGGCTATACCTCCTAGTTGTCTCTAAAGAGAGCCCATTCCAGCTTTAAACAACTCCATTAAGTGTTTTATGACTGTATTTTATAAGCTATGCCTTTTGTAAAAATTAAGTAGACACAGCCCTTGTCATCTCTAGCTTATAATCTTTATTTCTCCCATTTTAATAAGTTTTGGTAAAGCTAAAGAAGCCACACATGAAAGAATACATATTGTATGATTCCATTTATAAGAAATATAAGAATAGAGGCAAAACTAGCAAATAGTGGTAAGTGTTTGAATAGTGATTTCAGGCATGGGTGGATTAACTGGGAAGGACCATAGGATAGCTGGGGTGACAAAAATGATCTTTTATCTCAATTTGGAGGTAATACATATATTCCTTTAAAAACTTTTTCTTTAATAGTGTTGGCAGGGGCCTCTCCTGAGTTCTTTAGTAGCAGCCAGAATAAGCTCATCATAGCAATAAACATGTACTTTACAAAGAAAAATATCCTTGCAGTTTTTTAGTTTGACAGCATTTATTAGTAAGGATACTATACTTACTACAGGTTTACACCTGTAGCTTGCATTACTGAGATGTTTCTGTATCCCTGTGAAATTGAAAATAATTCACATATGTGAAGCACATTTGAGTTAATTTGAGCTTTTCCTGTCAAACATTGGCATGTACCAAATAGCAGATTGGTAGCTCATAGGCCACGGTGGTGTTACAGAAGTTTAGAAAAAATAAGTAACATCTTTTTTTTTCTTTCTTCAGTCACAATTCCAGAAGGAATCATCAGTCTTATTAACTGATACTCCATAGAAATGAGTTTTATAAGGCATGAGCTTTGTTTGGCAATATAGGCAGCCTTTTCCTTTCATTCACCTCTCTCTTCCATAAACTAAGGTGTGCACTTCTATTTGGTATGTTTAAGAACAGAAACATGGAAGAGTTTGTTAGAGAATGCCTTATGTAGAGATATACTTTCTAACTGTTTCTAGTCCTTCTAAGTGTTTGATAAATATGTAGCTATTGTCTAGTTTTAAGTAAGGAGTTTCTACTTCTGGTTCTACTGTGAACATTAAAAGATAATAATGTTGACAGACTAAGGTAATTTATCTGTTCTATTTCCATGTAGCCATGATAATGAAATAGTAACAGTTTAGAATAAAACTTGAACTTTTCAACCAAACCTGTTAACCATATTCAGTGGTTAGATTTTGCTAATATTCCTCATTAATTTTTACCTTTAGATTGGTATTAATGTACTCAAATTGAAGTTATATCATGAAAGCTAATGTAACTATAATCACAGTACTCCTTATATATGGTTAATATAAAGTGAAAAGAGGATATATTAATATCATTACATTAAAAAACAATGTTATTTATCTAGGACCATTAGAGAGTCATTGAACACATGCAGTAAGAAACATTTGGTTATATATTTGCCTGACATGAAAAAATATATTTATATATTGAGGACATTCTTGACTCTATAGCATCTTCCTATGCTGATGGACAGTGATTGCAGTGGGGTGGGGTACTTGAAAATATGGGTGAATGTAGAAACCACAATGTTGCTCATGTAAAACCTTCATAAGATTGTATATCAATGATACCTTAATTTAAAAAAAAATGAGGACATTCTTATCATGAGATTTTTTTGAATATTGTTTCTCTTTCAGATGGGACATCTTACTCTAGAAGACTATCAGATCTGGAGTGTGAAAAATGTTCTTGCCAATGAATTTTTGAATCTCCTTTTCCAGGTATGTTTAAGGTAAATGACAGGTATAGAGAGTAGTAATACCAGTAGTTCTACATGGACCATTATGTAGTAGTTATTGCATATAGGCTGCAAAACTATATATTACAAGAAGAACTACATTATCTTGTATACCAACCTGAAAGATGGTGAGCTAGAGCATGAGTGCTATAAAGTTTCTCAAAGTCATGACATGGGAGATAGGAAAGTCAAATATAACTTATTATGTTTATTTATAGTAGCATAACTCACAACAGACCAGCATATAGATACATACATAATGATTTAAATTGCAAAAATCATCATAATTTACTATTTTTCTTCACTTCCTAAACAGAGGGATAGGTCATAAGTATGTAGCTGTTAATTTTTCAAAGTATATAGTCTCTCCAGTTAGGAGATTATCTTAGCTGTAAGGCTGTTTCTAAATTTTTTTATTCTTTAGAAGGTCCAAGAAAGATTGAGGGAGAAGAAGTAAAGAAAAGCTGCCAGAATGAACATTAAGTTATAGAGCATGCCGGATTTTAACTATTTTCCTAGTTAAAGTAGTTCTCTTGCTGCAATTAAAAAAAATAATTTAGTTTTCATTTTTCATAGTTCTTCATAAATATTTAACTTGATTTAATAGTGGTATTATAGAGTTTCCTTATTTCATTTTCCTTTCTTTGTAAAAGCACTCCTCTGAAGGTCAGAAAGGTTTGGTATTTTTATTGATATGGATTATTGGTATTTTGCAACGGATCATCCACTGTAAATAAAGAATAACTTGTCTGTGCCATGGCTGTATTGAAATAAATGGAGATTGATCCTGACAGCTATAGACTAATTGTTGTATATTTAAAATATATACAATCTGATAAAAACAATCATGTAACATCCATTTAAATCAGTCAGTTGCTCCACTATCACTTACAATTTTCAGCAGGAATTTAAGTTGATGGCTTTATAAATATGTACAAAAATAATATAAATCACTATAAACAGAAATGACATGTTGGTAATAATGAAAATTGATCAACTGTTTTTATCTCATTTAAAATAATATCCTCAACTACCTTATTTCATAATTGTATAAACATTTTAATCACTGAGGTTTGTGTCTGAGTCATTGTGCAGCTCTCACATAGGACAGCATTTTGATTTTTTTGTATTGCCTCTCCTATTTTCTCATTCTTAAGAATTTGCCATGGTACTGTTTTTTTCTATAACTATAAACAAGTGTATGCTTGAGATTTGCTTTTGTGTGTATGTGTTGCTCACATTGTATTATGGAAATCTGGAAAATATTTTCAATAGAATATACATCTACCTACTACCTAAATTTTAACATTACATTTACTATACTTTATTCCATATTCAGAAACACTTTTAAAACTATATGTTCACTTAATATATGAATAAGCAGGCTGTTATGCCAAGTAGTTTTATTTTCTGTGTCTTAAAGTTGGTAGTTATCTGGTAAGTTCAATGATAAAAGCTTGAATTACACTCTTATTTTCTTTGCCAAGATCCTCCTCTTGGCTATTTTGGATATTTAAGTGTAACATATATAAGTGTCAATAGAATTAGAAAACCATTCCTGTATCTTTATTTTCAATCCTTTTATATAAACTCTGTGACAGATATTTTGCAGAGAAAGCATGCTAAATCAGGGTCTTCTTTCCTGTATGTTTGTCAAAAAATATCAAATGTTCAAGAGTGTGGTAGGCAATGCCCCCCACCCCCCGCAAAAAAAAAAAAAATCCATGCTGTAATCCCTGGAAACTGGGAATATATTATTTTACATGGTAAAAAGGACTTTACAGATGTATCAGGTTATGATTCTGAGACAGGGTGATTAGCCTGGATTATCCAGATGGGTCCAGTCTAATCACGTGAGACCTAAAGTGGAGAACCTTTCCTACCCTCCCATTATCCCCAGTCTCTTTCTCTTTGGTAACTGTTAGTCCATTCTTGGGTTCTGTGATTCTGTTGCTGTTTTGTTCCTTCCGTTTTTCTTTTGTTCTTATACTCCACAGATGAGTGAAATCATTTGGTATTTGTTTTTCTCCACTTGGCTTATTTCACTGAGCATAATACCTCTAGCTCCATCCATGTTGTTGCAAATGGTAGGATTTGTTTTCTTCTTATGGCTGAATAATATCCATTGTGTATATGTACCACATCTTCTTTATCCATTCACCTACTGATGGACACTTAGGTTGCTTCCATTTCTTGGCTATTGTAAATAGTGCTGCGATAAACATAAGGATGCATCTTTCTTTTTCAAACTGGAGTGCTGCATCCTTAGGGCTAATTCCTAGAAGTGGAATTCCTGGGTCAAATGGTAAGTCTATTTTGAGCATTTTGATGAACCTCCATATTGCTTTCCACAATGGTTGAACTAATTTACATTCCCACCAGCAGTGTAGGAGGGTTCCCCTTTCTCCACAACCTCGCCAACATTTGTTATTGTTTGTCTTTTGGATGGTAGCCATCCTTACTGGTGTGAGGTGATATCTCATTGTGGTTTTAATTTGCAGTTCTCCGATAACTAGCGATGTGGAGCATCTTTTCATGTGTCTGTTGGCCGTCTGAATTTCTTCTTTGGAGAACTGTCTGTTCAGCTCCTCTGCCCATTTTTTAATTGGATTATTTGCTTTTTGTTTGTTGAGGTGCGTGATCTCTTTATATATTTTGGATGTCAAGCCTTTATCGGATCTGTCATTTAAGAATATATTCTCCCATACTGTAGGGTACCTTTTTGTTCTATTGCTGTACAGAAGCTT